AGCCCCAGGGTTTGGGGAGGAACCTGGTGGGAGGTGATTGGATCATGGGGGTGGTTTACCCCATTCTGTTCTCATGATACTGAGTGAGTTCTCATAAGATCTGATGGTTTTATAAGGAAGTTTTCCCTGGATTCTCTCAAATTATCTCTTTCACCTGCCACCGTGTACCATGTGCCTGCTTCGCCTCTGCCATGATTGTAAGTTTCCTGAGGCCTTCCCAGACATGTGGAACTGTGAGTCATTTAAACCTCTTTCCTGTGTAAATTGCGGAGTCTCAGGCAGTTCTTTCTAGCAGTGTGAGAACAGACGAAGACACCCTAGGTTCTAGTTTGTTGTATGTGAACGTGTTACACTGTGCATGTTTCTCTGCACCATCCTCCAATCACTTTGCTACACATCTTGCGGATTCTGCCTTGTCAGTGTTTACAGGCCAGTCTTAGATTGCTTATTTACCACAAATAATCTAACCATTCTATCACTGAGGAGTTTTGATTATACACAATATCACATTGAAACATTTTATGCAGGTATCTATGCATATGTGTGACTAAATATATATTTGGTAGATACCAGGAACTGGAATTGTCAGGCTAGCATATGCACATTTAAAATTTTCATTCATGCTGCCAAATTCCCGACACAACAAGGTTGTTCCATTTGCATCCACGCAAACCTGCGTGAGAGTCCTGTTGACGACATCGTCCCCGCTACACAGAAGACAGGGAAGGCTCTCATCCCCTTCCTTGGCAGTGGGAGTGCTACCGGCCCTCTCTAAGCCACAGTGGGAAACAAACCTGTTTCCACTTCGGTGGTAATTTTGTGAAACGATGCAATTGTGGCTTTAAGTTCACGTCTAAGTTTAAGAAGAGCTAGTAAATTAGAGGATAGATTATTCATATGATGTCTTTATCTATAAATACTTCCAGGTTACAAATTGCATTTGCTGGTGTCCTTTTATGTGGTTAGTTGACATGTTGAAATCAGTGGTGTCTTACTTAGAAGTTGAGATTAAGGTTATATTTTAGGCCAGGTATGGTGGTTCATGCCTGTAATCTCAGCACTTTGGGAGGCCAAGGCGGGCAGATCACTTAATGTCAGGAGTTCAAGACCAGCCTGGCCAACATGGTGAAACCCCATCTCTACTAAAACTACAAAAATTACCTGGTTGTGGTGGTTGGCACCTGTAATCTCAGCTACTAGGGAGGTTGAGGCAGGAGAATCGCTTGAACACAGGAGGTGGAGGTTGCAGTGAGCCAAGATCGTGCCACTGCACTCCAGCCTGGGCGACAAGAGCAAAACTCCATCTCAAAAAAATAAATAAATAATAAGTTATGTTCTAAATATTGATATTGTACAGGTGATCTACAGGAAGAACTGAGACGGGAATGTCCGTGTATGGGACGTAAACCCAAACCTTTTTAAATGCCAAAATTACATTCCAATGTTGCAAATAATTGAAGTCATCCCACAAAAACTTAACTGACCTAGACTTAAAGCAAAGCGCACATGAGTGTTTAAAAACGAGAAGGGTGATATTAAAATTGGCTATACATTCTTTTCCTGATTTCCTATTTTTTCTTTTTAAGATGTCCCCATTTATTTACTTATTATATATTTCCTTTTCCTTGTCTATATGGTCATCACTATCTTCTGAAAATGACCATTTCTTTCTTTTCTCCGAAAAACTGAAAGTGGACATATTCTAAGTCTCATCTCCACCTAGAAGCTGAGTGACTGTCTGATGAGCACATCCTAACACAAAGGCTGTGAGCAACGCAGTGAGCTAAGCGAAATCCGTTTAACTTGGTACAAAGGAAACAAGTTCCTTATTCAGCCAGGAAAGGCTAACGGGGAACCTGCTATGTACTCCATAGTGCAGGCAGCTTATTCATCTCAACCCAGCCCCTGAGCAAGGAGATCGCATGGCTGTTGGTCGGTAGAGATGAGCTACAGAAACAGGCGGAAGAGCTGGAGATGCACCTGCCAATCACAATGGGGACAGTCGGCCAGGACTGCCCTCCAGCCCAGCTGCTATGATGCACTGTCCTCTCCGGCCATTATGGATTCCAAATTTGACCACTGAAGGGCACAGAAAACGTTCTTAAAGCAGTTTTCCTGTTCAGACAGTGTCGAGGCAAGGGTCCAGGAAAGTACGCAAAACCAGGCTCAGGCGTCCTTGCATGCCTTTCAGAGGCTCCTCTGAAACTGGCCCAGTTCACGAAGGATGGTTTCGCCTTCTCCTTATGGTGGTGTCTGAGGTGGGCTTTTCTCAGGCAATTGTCTGGTTCTTGCTGTTCAGTGTTACACGTCTGAGAAAGAAGCACTATCGACATATAGCTCTCATCTTTTAACCAATCTCACACGGAACTTTTAGGGTGT